GAGCAGAATGACAGCCCTCCAGTAATGAGGGGAAGGCTTAAGGCACATGTGAAATTCTGGGAGCTTATTAATACGAATAGATTCATATTAGACACCATTTACAATGGGTATCGCATACCGTTCAAAGAAACTCCCCAAAGGAGTGTTTTACGGAATAATAAGTCCRCCATAGAAAACTCGGAATTTGTAGAAGCTGCTATTGCAGATCTCATTAAAAGCCATTCAGTGGTCGAAGTGCCGTTTATACCGCATGTAGTTAGCCCACTATCAGTGTCTGTACAATCCTCAGGGAAGAAAAGATTGATTTTGGATCTGCGTCTAGTTAATAAGTGCATTTGGAAACAAAAGTTTAAGTTTGAAGATTGGCGTTGTCTGACCCCTTATYTAGAAAAAGGGGGCTATATGTTTAATTTTGATCTAAAATCCGGTTAYCATCATGTASAAATATTTCCAGRGCACCAAACGTTTCTTGGGTTTTCGTGGGTTTTTCAAGGAAGCACAAAATATTTCTGTTTTGCAGTTCTACCGTTCGGCCTGAGCTCAGCACCTTACATTTTTTCGAAGTTGTTGCGTCCTTTAGTAAAATACTGGAGGTTTAATGGCGTCAAAATTGTAGTGTTTTTGGACGACGGTTGCGGAACYGCGGCAGATTTTTCGGGCGCTASYGCCCATGCYACTTTTGTTAAGAACTCACTCAGGGATGCAGGCTTTGCAATAAACAGTAGCAAATCTATCTGGGAACCAGTACAATCACTTGTCTGGTTAGGGTTGGAMTGGAATCTGAGCAAGGGYGTTTTCWCGGTTACCAABAAGAGAATTGTTAAGTTTTTAGGGATAATCGATGAATTTCTCAGAGCAGCACCGTTTGTAACGGCCCGACAGTGTGCTCAGATAACAGGCCACGTTATGTCTATGTCATCGGTGATAGGAAATCTCACTAGACTTAAGACTCGATACCTATACAGAGTGATAGAGTCACGGAACTCGTGGAATGCAAGGTTTAACATAGGCGTTCATAATGACGCACTAGAGGAATTGTTTTTTTTTTTGGAAGGATAATGTTTCTAAATTGAACGAGAGAGCGTTAGTTGAATACTCAGTACCTAAAGTTCTGTCATTTTCAGATGCTAGCGGCTATTTGGTTGGTTTCTTTTTGTACACAATAATGATAAACGAATGTGTTATTTACTATGAAAGCTTGTGGGCGTAAAGCCGAAGATTCAAATAAGGTGTAGACTCCGTGCTAAGTTGGCGACGGAGAGTTTCCTAGGATCGTATGTTATGTGATAATTTGCTTTCTTCGTCATTTCAGATCTAGTAAAGGAATGTACGAAGGGTCTCTTTAAATGTGTACAGGATGCTGAACTGAAGCAGCTCGCAAGTGGTTTGCCGGATATCTTGGCGCAGAGCAAAGCGAAAAACACTCGGAAGAAGTATGAGAGGGGCTTTGAAAGGTGGAAAGTATGGGCGGTCAAGTTTCCGGAAGTAGRAGTYCTCCCAGCAAATAGCTTRTATATCGCACTTTTTCTAGTTAGCCTAATACAAAGTGGTACCTCGTTTCCGATCATTGAAGAAATTCGATATGGGGTTAAATGGTTTCACGAATTGGGGGGTTTCTTGGATCCATGCAATTGCCCATTAGTGAAGAATATTGTAGAAGCAGGAAAACGCATTCTGAGTACTAGAGTTCAAAAGAAAGAACCGGTCACACCGGATATAATTCAAGCGCTTTTCAATAAGTTCGGTTCGCCTGATGCCAGCCTGTCAGATCTTCGTGTCCTTTGCTTGTGTGTCTTAGGTTACACTGGGTTTTTGCGTTATAACGAGCTAGCAGGTTTGCGTCGTAGCGACTTTGAGTTCGAGAACTCGCACATGAGAGTATTTGTGGAGAAGAGTAAGACTGACGTGTACAGGGATGGGGCGTGGGTCGTGATCGCGAGGACGGGGTTGGGTACGTGCCCAGTTGCGCTTGCCCTTAGGTACTTCAGCGTGGCGAATTTTGAGATTGCATCAGATGAATTTATTTTTCGTGCGTTGACTTTCCTTAGCAGCTTTGGGGCATATAGATTTCGTAACGCGGCYGCGTTGTCATACTCGAGAACGCGAGAGATCGTTTTAAGCGCGTTTGAGGAGGTGGGGTTAAAAAGAAGCGATTATGGGCTTCATAGCCTTCGCGCTGGGGGGGCTTCTGCTGCTGCAAACGCCAACATTAGTGACAGGTTGTTTAAGCGCCATGGGAGATGGAAGTCGGATAAAGCTAAAGATGGATACATAAAAGATAATATAGACTCCCTTCTATCTGTGTCCAAGTCATTGGGTGTTTAATTTTTTATTTTTTCATTTTCCCGTTCTAAAAATTCGCACGTCTATCGTGTGGACACACTCCTATAAGTTTGTGTATTTATTACATGATAAATGTTTTATATTCGGTTGAGCGGGGGAGCGAATTAGAATATAAATGTATTTATCATGGATTAAGTAACTAGCGCATAGAGTGCGCTTGTACACGTTGTTGTTTTTGCTAAGTGGTTATGGTTCATTAGCGGGACGCTAATATATAAGGTAATGAGGGGATAGAATATTCATTCGCGTCCAACGATCTTCGTTGTCGTGTGCCTCGATAAAAAATTAAACACCCCATAAAGCGTACGTTTCGATTGGGATTTTATTCATATGGAAGTTAACCAGAGCGAAAAGCTAACTAAAGAAGAAGGAGATTCGTACTTCTAGTCTGTAAAAAGTAATAGCATAATTAAAGAGGTTTCGAGTTCGGCATCATTTTTTTTTTGCTAGATCACAAGCACGTAGCACACGTGGAAGCACTGCACTATCTGCACACTATTAAACCGATAAGATGTCTATTTTTGCACCACCACACTTAAGCACTTTATATATATAAGCTGTTCAATTGTAAATTTGTTAACGAAGTTTAATAAAGGCACGCGCGTCTATCGTGTGGACACACTCCTATAAGTTTGTGTATTTATTACATGATAAATGTTTTATATTCGGTTGAGCGGGGGAGCGAATTAGAATATAACTGAATTTATATGCTTCATGTGTTAACAGGAATGTATTCCTACAAAAGACTTAATTGGCAAATATACTTAAAATGTTATGACATATAAAATACCAAAATCTTTTGTGTTTTGTTAGACAAAACAAATTCATTTGATTTCCTAAGAGTAATTATTAGTCAAGTTCAGGCCATTGTTAAAGTGCACATGACACCATTAGAAATTCATTCTCATCCAAAAGAGACAATGCTGCTAAGTTCATCTGTGCAGAAAGAAATTGATTTTAAATTGTATTTTCTAAGTTATTACTATGATTGATGATTTGAGCTCTTCAACCAAGAATAGCATAGCGCAAACAATGTAAAAAGTCTGGATCAATTCCTTAGTTGACGTCACTTCATTTAACTCAGAAAATACAATTCACAATCTATTTCTTTCTTCACAGAAGTACTTGACAGCGTGTTACCTTTTGGATAAAAGTGTTTTTCTAAAAGGTGTCATCTGCACTTTAAAAATATGTACTTATTGACTGAGTGGGAGGGCCGTACGGGAAAATATTTGGCTCGAGGTTATGCCGTACGGACCGAGCGCAGCGAGATTTAGTAATATCCCTCAGTGCCATGGTATCACGGGGTCGTTTTATGAGAGTTCTAAAACGGTATTTAGAGTACTRCAGGTTCGTTTGTTTCATTGTCTTTACAAAGTCATCTTAACATCATGTTAAATTCTTATTTAGTTTATTTGTGAAGAGGACTCCAAAAAGTACAGGTTATCGTCCGAATTGTAAGTAGGATCGGAACCCTTTTAATTATATAAAAACAGTAAAATAACCTTCCCTCGGATCCCTCGTATATTAATGGCGAGCTTGACTATTTACAGATATTGGATTTGAAATACCAGATGAATTCATTGTTGGCTATGCTTTGGTAAGTTACAAAATGACATGTATTTATGCCCTATGTATCATTAGACATGTTACAATAATGAATATTTTTCAGGATTATAACGAGTACTTCAGGGACTTGAATGTAAGTAAGTTTATAAAGTGTTGTGGGTATTTATGGGTATGACGCTATATGTAAGGCGTTTCGTCACGACTAGTCAATGACAGGTTGTCACGGTAACAAGTTCTCGGCATTAGATTAAAGTCAGTGCCTAACGAAAATCGCAATGCATTAAAATTAAAATCAACAAATGCGTGGAATACACCTTTTTCCCGTTCAAAGCAAGCAACCGATTCTTTAGTTGATTTGGCGTGATTTGAAGACCAGCCCTGTTGGTGATTATGTTTTTGTTTATTTTCCAGCATGTCTGTGTCATCAATGAAAATGGAAAGAAGAAGTATTCTGTACRATGAAGAATAAATTTATCATCTTTTGTACTAAAATTTTACTCGAGTGGTAGTTCCTGTGTGATGATATAATATGCCTAATCGGCAAACGCGTTGTCATGTACTTTACCACCCAATTCAAKTGTTGTGGTGAAAAAGCACTTTTGTTTACAAAGTTTCAACTGTTAAATGAAAATACACGAATGATGAAACGYTTGAATTGGGTGGAAACATTTCCTTGGAAACATTTATGGCAACATGTTAGCCGATTAGGTCTAATAAGTGCTATGTATCCAAATGTTCTTGACCCTTTACTCAGTTTGCTAAACAGCGTAAACCATCATTAGTGAGACCGATACAATAGGCGATTTGCACGATGACCAGAATGCTTTGCCCACTTTATTTGTAATGCAATTAGTCCCAATTGTTTTACTAATCTCGAAAGGCAATAAAAATCTAGATAATTTTTAAAAATAACACAATACTTTCAAATTTCATTTTTTTTTTGTAATAAAACTACTATTTTTGCAGTAAAATTACAAGTTTCGTTACCCTCACTCATGCGGGCACTCATGAGATCTTTTATCCGTTTCTCTACTTTCGGACTCTCCCATGAACGGACAGTTCTACCYGTTTTTCCTCCCATAAATAAACACTGTATTTATACGACTTTTTTGTATGCGGACTCGGACACTTTTAGTGATTCCCAGTTGACCTTTTCTATTGTTTTCAATCTCTCATCACACTGTTGAAACCTGGAGCAATGTTCCCATCGAGGTGTACTTTGGGCAGTGAAACTTTATGTGGTGCGATTATGCGTCGAAATCGAGAGCACGCGTTATGCAGCCGATAAAACGCCTCAACAAAGCTTCTTCCACTCAATCCAGAAAGCGATAACCTGACTATTATTTCCAAGATTTCATCAGGCAGTTCGTCGAATGGCCTGAAATCGTACTTTGGAGAGTTAGTCAAATCTGCTTTACTCTGCCTTCCATTAACACCATCGTACTCATCCTTGCCTTCGCTTTCTTCATTACCATCTTCAACATTTGCGTCATCACTACCACTTACGCCGTCGTCATCGTCAGTCTCTACCTGCTCTTGGTTAGAAGCAAGRCATACGTAATGTATTCCGTTATCTTCGGCAAAGTGTCCGAGTGCAAAGCTAGCAACGGGCTTGGAATCATGAGGTAAAATTTGAACCATATCATCGGCACCCAATGAAGATATGACAGTGAATTGTACTAGGTAGCAGATTAGCCGCTGCTTGAATGGTAAGCTGGTCACCAAAGGTTCCATCATTGTTCATGTTTTCAATATACTGTCTCCATGGCATTCCTACATACAATAGACTTCTGAACCTTTTACGTCACTACTTGATTTTCAATGCATTGTGGGATCAGTTTCAAGAGAAAACAAAATRAATCCGCCATGTTCTGTCCCAAACATATCCTACAATGCATTGCGTATACGGTACATGACGTAAAAGCTTCAGAGGTCTATTCCAATGGAAAACCATCAGAGTCACTTGGGTTTTATTCGAGATACTGGCTACTCTAACTGTCTTTGCTGATAGAAATATGCCGACATAGCTAGGTGATGGGCAATTGCGTCAAACTGGCAGTTTCCATTTCCATCGGGATTGTACACAACATGATACTAGTGTGATGAAAATTAACCATATACATCTTGAACAGTCAATGGAATGTAGTACCTGCTATGGGTATTCTATTTTTTTTCTTTTGTGCAACTCTTTGTTTTTTGTTTGACGAAGATTTCTTTCGARAAAACTCTTCTCTGGCCTCTTTTCTCTTTTGCTTTTCTTTTTCAACTGTCCCCTTCTTAGCCCTTTTGTCCCCCTTTAAAAGCAATATKTAGGGGGACAAACGGGCTAAGAAGGGGACAGGCGGGAATAATCGAAGGACACGAGGGAAGGAAGGGAACAAAGCAGGGACACACGGGACAGGTGGGACAAGAGGGATCTTTCTAAAGACATGTTAATTTAGTTTCAATGTATAAGCGTGTTCAACACGCGTGGACACGAAATTCCGATATTATAGTTTACGGGAAAACAACGCGCTGAGACACACTACCGGAAAAACAAAATAAATTTGATAACAACTCAACTGAAACACTGAATAGTTTCATTCAAAATCTTTTCAATAAAAATTTACATTTCAACATCAATATTGTCGGGTATTTCAATATTTTGAAAATGCTGACGAAGACTGGGCTTAAACATTTAACAAATTGCGCACTGTTTTGAGTTGTATTTCCTTTTATTGACACATTCTTGACGTCATAACATGTTCCAAACTCGCTGCGCTCGTGGTTCCCTAAAAAGTTTTTAACCACACTTTTAGTGTAAAAATTAGCGAAAATCATTCTTTTCTTTCAATTGAGCGCGCGCGCGAGACTTGATGTTGTCAGCACAGTGTGCATGTCCTCTTATTGACACACTCTTATCAGCCAATCAGCGCGCGAGAATTTACACAAGTGTGGTAAAAAAATGGTTTTCACCTGGAAATTTCGCATTCAATTATAGGCAGAATGAAGTTTATAGATCGGTTGAAAAGTAAAAAAAATAAATAGATAAAAATAAAACGAAAAAGAGATACGAGACAATGCAAGGGATTTMGCTGTACGTGGCGTAGCTGCGGCGTTTGGTGTAAGTATTTGAGAAACTAAAAGTATTATTTAAATGTAATAACAAGAACTCTCTTTGCGTGGTTTTGCATATTTTCATTCCTTTAGAAGTACATTTAGTACCGTATTACTCTTAGATCCAATACTTATTACATTTASTACTGTTATTAAACTTAGATCCAATGATTATTACATTTAGGACCGTTATTACATTTAGATCTATTGTATATTACATTTAGGAACATTTACGTTTAGGACCAATGTTTATTACATTTAGGAACGTTATTACATTTAGGTGCAGTTATTACACTTAGGCCTTTAACATACGCGCTTCTGATAGGACGTTTCGCTATTTTTTACATGTAAAAATATAGCATACCGATTTTTTATTTATGCCATTTATTCTATGAAAGTCTCGTTACATATATGATGAAATGAACTACTTATTAAACTCTGTTGCTAGATGTTGGTCCGTACGGTCAAAAGTCGGATTTTCTCTTTATAGACCTCCTAGTTAGATTTTGACCRCATATGATAATTTTCTCGCTTTCTGATTGGCCGACAGCCGAGTTAAATAAAAGTACATACCRCGGTCGCTACTTTGCTCGCGATTAACTTTGATACTTTTATTTAAAGAAAACAAGAGAATTGTTTACATSTTATTTAACCAATCAAAAAGCGAAAAAAGTATGTACCATGATTTGTTGAAATAAATGTTTTGGTTCAGTTTGAAATGAGATCTTTTAGCTTGAAAACGCGCGCAGTACTAGTAAAACAATTAATTTTTGTTATAAAACAAATTCACAATAGTTTCGTGTGCCATGCCCTCTATTTACCAAAGTTGGCTCACCGAATCGTCTAGATTGTTGTAAATCCACGAGACGTAAATTTGTTAAAATATCTCACTATGAAAATCGAACGATAACAAAATGCTGTGTCCAAAACACTACAGAAAACCACCAAAGCACACTATACCACACCAATAACATTTTTGCACGGTAAAGTGAAAAATTTTTTTTGAGTTTTTAAATTTGCCCTCCATATTCTGAAAGTGTATCATTTAATAATGCATCCTTGCTAAATATGAGTGTCTTAGTGCCATTTATAGCCGAGGTACAAGCGATTTTATGGTTGGGTGACCAAACGCTTGTAAATTTGGTCTTGTTCCTTTCGTTTCATTTATTCCTAAGGGTCTTCTTTCTCCCGGAATTGCCTCTTTCTAAGCACTATAACTTTCTTTCACTTTCTTTCATTTCTATATAAAATTTACAAGCGTTTGTATGTGGTCACCCGACCATAAAATCGCTTGTATCTCCGCTTTAGTTTCCAATTCACTAGCTTTGTTATTCATGTTTGTATATGTGATAGAAACTTAAAGCAGGGGAGGGATTTGATATTCAGCAGGGAAATGTGTGGTTCCACATTTCCCTGCTGAATMTCAAATAAACTAAGTAAACTAAAATATTTTCCTCCTAAAAAAGACCAGTGCGGCCGGAAAAACTTGAGGAGATTTAGAGTGTAATAAGTTCGAGTCCCGCAGCTTTTCTTCATATGTTCATCAGATAATAGAGACAACAATAACCAAGATCTTCGTTACTTTTAAAAATATCTATTCTTCAGAATTAACCAACGTGYATGAATCAGAAGTAATCGGTGTGACTCGTATTTCTCCGCTCCTCGGTCCGATCCATTCTATCCAAGCACGTACACACGGCCATTTGGTACTTTAGTTTGTTCCTTCTTGAATCCTTCCCTCGTACTTTTTCGAGCGAGTTCAACATCAAAAACTATTGTATTTTKWCTCATTTTTCCCATCTGCAGACTTTGTCATCGTTATTTGCGGGGAGAGGCATGCGGAGTCCCAAATCCGATAGCAAATCCTCAATATCAAAATTCGGCAAAGGAATGATGTCAAACAAATCGTCACTGTTCGACATCGTTTCCAGAATCACTGGAAARTATCGCGCGCTTTAAAAGGTTGTAAATTTGATGTAAATATGATGTAAGTGTCCAAAATTCTGTAAATTTAATGGAAATCATTTACATCAAATTTACAGAATTTTGGACATTTACATCATATTTACATCAAATGTACAACCTTTAAAGGGCGCGGTTTTATCTAGTGAATGACTGTTTAAAATATTTGATAACAATATTCAAATTCCGATTGCTTGCTTTCGCATGAACAGGTTTTCTTAAAGGAAACTGATTTCAACAGTCCATGAAAAAGTCTCAAGACAAGAGATTCTATTGTTCGAATCCCAACTAAGAAAACATTCATTTAGTCTATTCATTTAGTCTTTGCGAAAACCACGTGAATTGAAAACTAAGTTTGTTAGTTACCTCGCACGTCGGCATTACGCTATATACATAACTAACTCTTACATAAATGGCACTAGGACACTGAAATTTGGTAGATAGCTACTTTTTTCCATGCGCTTCAAGAATATTTCGAATACGAAATATTCGAAAAATTGACAACAATGATAAACATAGGAACTGCCACCATTTTATTGGTAAAATAACGATTTAATACCGATTTATCATTTTATCAATTTAACATCAATGGGAATTTAGTAATTTATGTTTGGTATATTACGCGCTATTGGATTGATCGAGGACCATGTAATTAAAGTACACACGCACGGATGACGCCATTCAATCTTTCGTGCGATCTGATTAGTCRGAACCGGCGCACGAGCATTGCTGTTTCTTTCAACCATTTACAGTCAAAAGACATGAAGTGCGTCCCCTCAAAACACCATTATTTAATTCATTATTCGATTCTTGGTCGATTCAACACTACATTATTGAAATAAGATCACAGTTTGAGATCTTAATTTAATTTTGCATAAATCGACTGAACTTTGAAAATGAGAAATAAAATGAAAAATCCGATAATGAATTTAATAACGAAGTGTTTGGGGGACGCGCTTCGTGTCTTTTCACCGTAAGAAATTACGTTTCACCGCAAGAAATTTCGTTTCTACGGAAAAAAATACAGGAAAATGTCATATAAAACAAAGATATAGAGAACTCAAGTGTGACGTCACAAAAATACTTTTGTTTCCATCCCGTTAAGATGKTTATTTCCCTTCTAACACTACTGTAACTCCTGACAAACACTGTGCAAATAAAATAGAGCAAAATAATTCACACAATTATAATTGGCTGTCCAAATCTCGTCTTATTTGTCTTCCATTAATRTGTAGTTTTGCACTGAACGTGTTCAGAGGAAAGATCGACGTTTCACGTTCGCAACTTTGAATTTTGTGATGACACAAATTTTTTAGACCTTGACGAAAGCTCTTCATAAGTAAAAAATAACAGCAAGGATTGATAGCAGAATTGAAATAACCAAGTAAGGTTACAATGAAAAAAATGTCATTAATGTCTGGCAAGACTTGTGGAGGTACATCGTATCGCCAAATGAAAACGTAAGTAAAAAGAAAGCTGAAAAAAGGACCCCAAAATAAAGCAAACACTAGCACCACGACAATTGATATATAGAATATTTGTCTGTTTCTACGCTCTCTGYAGCGTACTTGGTCATGATTAAGCATATTTTGGATACCTTTCGACATTTTGTAAATTTTATATATTAGTATAGTGTAGAGGACAGATATCACGATGAATGGAATGATGAATAGAATGATGATCAGCGAAAGTGAAATGGTCGAAAACATAATATCATCCAAATGCGGTCCCCAGTGTGAAGTGCATATTAAGTACCCAGGGCCATCTTCAAGTCTGAAGGTGTAGAGGTGAGGAGAAAATACTGCCATTGATAGGATCCATGTGAAAGCGATAAGTAATAACATTTTTCTTTTTCTGGAYGTTTGTATACGAAGTGGATAGGCAATRGCAACGAATCTGTTCACAGCCATTACAACCAAACTTAACATTGAGACTCCAGGAGAAATATCACTGAAAAAGTTGCAAAGTTTGCACAAGGCATTGCCGAAAGGTCCACCTACAAGCCATTCCAAGTGCCTCCCTCTTGCTTCTTCAAGAATWTYAATAGGCATTACTATCAGCGGAACAACGAGATCAGAAAATGCCATGTTCACGATTAGGAAGTTGAATCGCGTTCTCAGATGTGCATTTGYGAATACAACAGCAATAACAAGTACGTTTACAGCTAGAGACCAGATTAACAGAATTGTGTGAAGTGTGATTTTTGTGCTTGGTAACAAACCCCCTGATGTCCTTGCTGTCTGTGTCGTATTATTCATGATGTTCACTACAAATTTAAAAGAAGCGAAATAAGCAAATAAGCCATAGCAAATTCCCTGCAAGATGATTTTCAAAAGAATTGGTTTTAAATAGTGTTAATGCTTGCTTATATTATTTTATCTATTATTATATTTATTTCCTGGCTAGGGCAATCCGTAGTGAATCAAATGGTCTTTGGTCATTACAATGAAATGTTGATTCTATCACTCTGCAAAAATGTTACAAGAGCTTCAATAAATAGTATTCGATCGGTTCATRTCCTATAAAGATCATATCCTATAAAGAGTTAAAAGCTCTTACCAGATACTTGCAAGCAACGGATGCCAAACTACTCGTATGTCCCTGAGTATCAGATATACGTTTTCGCACAACCTCGAAATGTTACGATCTGTTGCGCATTCGATGTGAGAATCTTCTAAGCAATAATTGTTTTTCTCAGCTCCTCTTCAATCAAGTTTGATGTAACAATCGGTGTCAGATCGAGACTGGATCTTCTGCTTCACGTAAGTAGCTCGCCAAGAATCACCTATCTATGCAAAGCGTAATGGCGCCACACTCCCAGACTAATTGTCCATTGTAGTAATGTGATTCCCGTTAACAATGAAGAAATGGTTGGCTAAAGTTTAGAATTTGTGTTGAATAATGTAAAAGTGAGCCTTTTAGAGACTGCAGGGTATTGAATGACTCAGTCTGCGTCGTTAAACCTGAAAAAAAAAAAAAAAAAAAAAAAAAAAATTAAAAGAAAGCCTTATTTTGTAAAGCATTTCATTCAAGAAATGGTAATTGCGGAAACAAAAAAAACCATGCTAGGAGGGAAATATTATTTTTCACCTTTTTGCCTTCGCCAAAGAAAGCTATATAACTACTGTAAATCGGTCCCACCAACTGATTAGATAATGGCGTTGAACGGGCTTATAGCTGTATGAAATCTACTTGAAATTAGAGGCAATATTCTTTATCAAAAAGCTGTCATAATTGAGGAAAGCTAGTGAATGTAGCACTTAAAATAGGTTACTGAAAAATTGTAAAAGCCTTTGTGTATAATGAAGCACAACATAATGGCCGTGCCTCCAGGGACTTCTGTTTCTTAAAACCTGTTATTTTTCATATCTTTTAATACTTCTAGCAATTAGTGCTGGCTTATACTGCAATAAAAGCACAAAATGTATCGCAAATGTTGCTCTGCATCTGCAATAACGTGACAAACGTTATTATTAAATGCAGGCTGTGTGAAAGGTTTGTCATTGAAGAAGACATACCCCCTACCCGCATATCAAAAATTGGCACTCACACAAAATGGCAATTACAATAGTAGATTTATCTTCATCGAATGCATCAACGTATCTGACGTGTAGTYATCTTTTCGCATGTGTTTTACGATAATGATCAGTTTTTTTAGATAATGCCTTCCAATATCAACTACCCAAATGAATGTCTGGCCTCCACTATCAACTAAAATCAGAATATCAGGAAACAGATGYCATTTACTAGACTTAAGAGCATTTTGGGAGCTATTTCATATATTTGTACAAAAAAAGCATAAAGTAATTACAGTAAAATGTAAAAAAATGCTTGGATCGGCTTAAAAMTGTTAAAAATAAGAACACAATTCAAAACCACAAACAAACAAACAAACAAACCGAGATTGAGATATGTATTGATATTGATGATGGACGATAAGTAAATATGATACTTCAAKTAATGTATAACTTTATATCACACGAAATGATCCTCATCACCTGTACCAAGCCTTTGTTGTACATGTATATATTATAGGAGGCCAGCTGGTCTTATTGGTTTTGCTTTTATATTTTTTTAAAGATTATTAAGATTTATTATTATTAGCTATTATGTAATATTCACTATACAATAAACAGCCGAAATCTTTGGTATTTCATAGGAAAGTAGAACTTATACTTGAAAATGAAAAAAAGATGTCGCGATGTTACTTTGGTTGTCAATATAAGACATAAATTGTGAAAAGATATCATAGATTCGACCTCTTCAATTAGAAAAGGTTGTCAGGGTGATTGGCAAATACACGACGGAAAGTTACTGTAAGTATTGATTATTGATTGATGTACTGAGTGGCCATTTGAATGTAGTCAATTTACTGTTATTTCYACAAAAGCAAGATGATCTGTTTGTCAGTAATATCATCCGTACATATTGAATACCCATTGAAACGGAGTGCAAACACTTTTAAGTGTAAAAAAGAGCAAACACAAAGTGTGTATCACTTTGCACTATTAACTACTAGAAATTGCCAACTAAGGGATAGAAAAAAATAGAAATATTGAAATTTAGCAGTATTCAAAATAGCTTTTGGTCTTTTATCCTTTAATATCCCGACGAGCGACTTTCGTGGAATAACCATTGTGATGAGTTTATARTGCATTTTTTATGCCTAAGGTAAGGCCACAGGGAGCATGAGAAAATGATTAGTTTGTTTTAAAGTGCGGGTACGATGAAAACCGAACTTCGAATTTGAGCTGTTTTTGTACATATACCTCTTTATAAATATCCAAATAAGTATTTCTGAGTTTTTTTTATCGATACATCATTGAAAAGCAGGAGAAATCGAGCTTWGAAAGCCTTTTTTTCTATCCGCCATTAATACCTGGTAAAACACGATCTCGAGTGTTTTAAACGGCTTCAAAAACTCCAACACCAATTTGAAACTTATGGAGAAATTGCCGTAAAAATAAATTTTGAGATAAATGGGGCAAACTGATCATGCGCGAATCAATTTACAAAGCACTCTTGTCGTCCCACATTGAATACGCATAAAGTAAAATAGAACCGCTCTTGGCTGTTCACCGTAATCGGATGACATCCTGCATTGGTCAATGTTCAGGTTTCAAACCTCAGACCTTTGCTAGGGTCATGGACCTTTATATCTGATAAAGGTCACCCTTATTAGTATTCTTTATATAAAGAATAGTAACAAGGAGTGTTTTATCAGATATAAAGGTCCATGCATGTGACCAAATAGACTCATTCTATTGGCCTAATGACTCATTAATTATGTATGAGTTTTTGAAATCCTTCTAAACGATTAGTTCCCTCTTCCAACTATTCAATAGCACGACCAAGATAACGAAATTCAATTGCAAAATATCTTAATATCTCAAAAATAATTATTTAGCAATCAAACCTTCACCCTTGTTTATTTGTCGTGCTTTTGACAACAAAACCCTGTCAGACAGCCACGTCTCTTTCAGAAACAGAAAACTGAGCTGGAACATCAGATAGAATATACGTATGGAGTCAGTGATAAATATTCAATACAGCTAATAACGTAAAGATAACAGTTTGTGCCAAAAACGTTGCAATATTTCGAAAAACAATATTCGATTCACATTGGATTCACACAGTAGTTCATGTTGACAAATTCACTCGTGTTAAAGGGACCCTCTACTTCTCAGCAAGTTGAACTTATATTATGTAGAATTTAACGCTGATTTCGAAAATCGTATTAAAAATTTTGAGAAATAATTAGTAAGCTTCAGTTAAATACGAAATCGATACAGAAAACACACATTTCAGTTGTTTCAATCTTCAYACACAGCCCGCATTCACCACGATACTTCTTCCGAATTTTCTTCCATATTATATYCTTCACTCGATTCTTTTTCGTGATCAAAGCTGTCTTATTGATCTGTTAACTCACTGTCGTCATATTCGAGCTCGAATTGAAAATGCATAGCCATAATTAAAGAAATAAAAAGCCCGGGAAAAGGACGCGATTATAGGTTTCCTTCTTGTCAAAACAAACCACGACCACGACCACGACCTGACGTCACGATGTGACGTCACGACAGCACAGGGTGCCCAAACCGATTTTTTTATGAGATTAAAAACGCTTTAATTAGCTTACTAATTATTTCTCAGAATTTTTAATACGATATTCGAAATCAGCGTTAAATTCTACATAATATAAGTTSAACTTGCTGAGAAGTAGAGGGTGAAATTCGCTACCAGCCCCTAGCGGCCTTCATCTTCCAAAATGGCTGCCGGTTAATGGCGGATCAAAAATCGACGACAATAATGGCAAATTTCAACATGTTCTCTTCATCTAAAATGTAAAATACCTTATTTATGGTATTATTAATAGTATAAACTAGCAAAAACTAAAACAAAAAACGCCTACCATCGGATCTCATCGTACCCGCACTTTAACAGTGTGTGGGAAATGAGTCACTTTTTCACAAGTTTCGGCTTTTAACTTAAAAGTATTTTCATGCTCTCATTCGCTTAACTTCGATGATGTACTTTTTTGAACTTCAAAATTTGTTTTAACTCGAAGATTGCGAAGATTGCGAAAATAAAAAAGTTAATTACTACCCGCCTCGCAAACGAAATAAATTACCATAACCAGAACTTCTACCGGKGGGTGCACATCCGATAAAACCGGACCATGACTGSSCTTTCTTATTAGAAGTTGTCAACCTATTTTAATAAAACAACAAAACAAAATAAATTAACAAAATAAATTATGGTTTTGCACTTAATTGATTCAAATCTAAACTGAAAATATTCATGTAATTCGTTTAAAAAAACATGGAGATATGTGAGCGCACCTTCAGCTTCTCTGGGGGTGGGGGGTTGGTAGCACGGGGGTAGCACGTGCACCGCCCTTAGTTACGGGCTTGGTTTTCATTGTAAACAAACGCACACGAGTTGCTGGATAACGGAGGTCGAAAACTTTCAAAAATTATTTTGTCGTGATGTTGCCCTTCCGGAAGCTCAAATATAGCTGGCAGTGTTTATTGGGGATGGAAATTTGGTTATTTGAGAGATAACGCGTAATGTTTAAGGAGTAAAGATTCTTTTACGCTCCAAATTGAAGTTGTTTAAATTTCGAACTCATGGGCATGTGCCTTGGACAACAGTTGTACGAAAGAAAAATAAAATGAAGTGATAAGTCAAATACTGGACCAAAGTTGAAACGATTCACGACGTTTCGATTGATTACACCGATCTTCCTCAGGTAGAATGACCAGTTGAATCACCAACCAGGGTTTTATTGTGAGGCAGGCGGCGAGGAACGCCTTTCAGAACAACATCCCRTGAGTGCGGTAGGTTGAAACGTAGGCCGCCCCTTCTGTTTAGGGTGGGATTTTCAATTTGTTCATAGATGGCTTCTTTAATCCCTCTCCTCCGCCAATCAGCTTCTCTGTCCAGAATGGTGACGTCGTTGTCAATATCAAAAGTGTGATCTACTTTCACGAGATGTTTGAACACTGCTGAATTCTGTGCTTCCAAGATGTTGGGTTTCCTGTGTTGACGCATTCTGGCTTTTAGCTTTTATCCAGCATCAATAATTCCGGAATTCAACCCTGACCCTGTTCCAGAGAAAATTCGTTGAAATCGATACCCTGTTCCAGAGTAAAATCGCTAAAATCGATACCCAGTTCCAGAGTAAAATCGCTGAAAACGATACCCTAGCTGGCGGCACGTCCCCGTATAGCGAATATAGGGGAGTACCCCCCCGGGAATGATATAGAGTTCTGATCACACCAAGCTTATGGATCAGCGGGTGATTGGAATCAAATTGGAGGTAATGATCCGTATGTGTTGGTTTTCTATACACGCGTGTGGAAAGAGAGCCATCATCGTTAACGGAGACTAAACAGTCCAAGAACGGCAAAGCACCATTGTTGGAGGTCTCTTGGGTAAACTT